AAGCCATATCTCTGAGTTTTGAGTGGGCGCATGTCGCCAGTGTGCTGCGTACTGTTTACATGTGTGAAAAGTGTGTTTGAAAGCGAGTCTGATTGCAATATATACACAACTTCCGTCCGAAGGAAAGAAGAACTAAGCCCTAGAATTTCAACTTCATCAAGATTCACTCAAGCTGAGGTCATATTTAATTTTTCCCATGTGTTCCACCAACAGGTATGCACTAGGATACAGACAGGCCTAGCTCTGTTGGTACACCCTTGAACTGTTGAAATGCAGACCTGAGTTCAAATCCAGATGAAAGAAATCAAATCATTTCTGAACAATGGTATCTCATGGCCGTTGCCTTTTTCTTAAAAAAAGAAAGGATATTCGGGCCTAGCTCAGTTGCTACACCCATTAGCTGTTGAAATATAGACCCAAATTTGATCCAGATGCTTTCGGATGAAAAAATAATTCTGAATTACCTGGGGGCGGTCAGTTCAATGATGATACCTCAGGGCCCTCGCCCTTTACAAGTAAACGAATGAATAGCGAGCGGGACGATTACAGACGCGTCTTATCAGTACTCACTTTATATTCTTTCGCATAAGATTCCACCACCTGTTCTGGGGCAAATGCCCCCATCATGTCTTTGTCAACCATCCCACTATGACAATCATCTGAAGAAGAGTCCGACCTTTTGCCCTGCTCTGGCAATGTGCTGAGGGCATCTGGATCTTGTTTGAGATTCTTCTTAATTCCCTCAAGCTTCAGCACAATTTTCTTCATCTTTGGCCTCTTCGTTGCATCATCCATGGTGCACTGATACCCCAGTTGCGCGACATCATGCACCGTCATCTTTTCTGTAGGTGTAAGACCGGAGACTAGGCGAGGATCGAAGAAACCTGTGGCCAGCCGATCGATGTGGTTCACATCTGGGTCAATGGGCTTCTTGGCAGAGAGCCATTTTCGTGACCACTGAACAAGATTGACAGCGCCAACTTGACGCCCATCGGCAGAAATCACTTTCTCCACTGCCTTCCTCCCAGTCACCAACTCCAGAAGAACAACTCCGAAAGCATAGATATCAGTCTTTGGGGTCACTTCTCTGCGACAGGCATATTCTGGTGCCATGTAGCCAGGAGTGCCTGTTCGAGCTAGAGTACGGATAGTCAGCGCCTCTTCATCACCACACGTCAAATCTGATTCAGGGACATAGCTAGCATCAAGTTTGGCAAGCCCAAAGTCAATAATGATTGCACGCATCCTCCTGGACCCCTCTGTTCGTTCTATCAACACATTGTGGCATTTGATGTCGCGGTGCACAACCCTTGGTTTCACCTCATGGTGCAGGTACCGCAAACCAGTGGCCACCTGCAGTGCAATCAACAGACGTTCTCCCCAACATAATTCTGTTTTCGCTGTGCTCAATTCAGCTCCTGCTTCTGTTATTGATAATAAAAGAGGATTGTCACAAGTGCTGGAAGTGGCGTCTGTAATCGTCTGTGACTTGCTACTCCGTGATTGTGAGTCATCCTCCCTTGATTGTGACTTGTTACTCAAAACCGATTTCTCTTGACCTCCATGCAACCTATCATGCAGACTGCCACCTGAGATGAACTTGTAGATAAGGATGCCATGGCCTCCCTCTTTGCAATACCCTATCAACCGGCACACATTCTCATGCCTAAGGCGGCTGAGCATTATGACCTCTGCACGAAATTGGTTGTACTTCATTTCCGTCAACTCCCCTCTCATACGCTTAATGGCAACATCCTTTTGCCGACGGCCAACCCTCAGTGACGCCCTGTACATGTCACCATATCCCCCTCTCACACCGCTCAGCAGATGGTCCTCCCCAAAGTTGTTTGTTGCTTCCATCAGCTTGGCAAGTGCAAACTCCCTGGTTTCATCAAGCCTGATGTGATACTTGTCTACCACTCGCTCGAAATCCTCCGCGGTATTCACCTCCGCAAAGCTGCCACTGTCTGAGGCTTCCCCCCAGGACCGGGAGTCGCTATCCGCATTATCCTGTGGATTGAAACCCTTTTCTCGAGTCTCGGTTTGCTTTGCTTGGCGCAGAGGGACTCCCAACTGATATTCTTGACCGTTCATACGGGACTTACATAGGTGTCTCCGGTAAAACACGACAGCCAGAATGGTAGCAATGCATGTTACCGATGTTAAAGTTACAGTAAGTATAATAACCCAGTAGTTATTTTCTCCCTGACGAGGTGCTCTTGGACATTGATGAAGAAGAGATCTGTTCAAGATGAGCTGGAAAATGTTACCTCCAGTGGTCCCTGCATACATGAAGTCATCGTCCTGTGAAAGAGTCAGTGCTGTGAAGTTCAGCGGAGAGCTCGCATTAATGAAGGCAACTGTCGTGACATTCAGTACTTCCCCATCCTGGTGCCGTAATGTAAGCCAACGGATTGCTCCGCCATGACTACCATCAACAGCTTCTTCAGCAACAAACAAGTTACAGCAGTCTCTTGTTATTGCCAAAGCCGATGGTCTATATAATGTCGCATTTTGTGCAGGTCCATCAACGCTGCTTGACACACTTGAGTTCTTGATTCCAGCTATTGTCGTCGTCGCCCCCGTATTAGTATTGATCTGCCTCACCACATTATTCTTTGCGTCGCCGACATACAAGCTGCGTCCGCACTTGGAATAAGACCTCGGCCCTATCATCGGCAACCCAAAGCGAACATCCTGATGTATGTGGCTATCCGTATACCCAGTCGTGTCGGGATTGGAATCAACCGGTCCCGCAAGTCTCCGTACCGATTCTGGTGGTGCTTGAAAAGGATCGGTATATCCATCTATCATGATAACTCGGTACATGGAAGTTACAAACAATGCTGGCCTTTTTGGATCCGAGTCCAATGCAAGCCGAACAGGGGAAAGGACTCTTCTATCCGCGGAATCAGACACGGTCACGTTTCTATTCTGCAGCTCCTTTGTCATCAGGTCCACTTTCCAGAAACAGGACCTGTTAGTATCTGCGATAAGCAAACTTGTCCCGTCAATCAGTACCACCCCGCACAGTCCTGAAGTGGTGCCATTGAAGGTTTCGGGCTTTACAATCTGGGAGATGTTGTAGAATCCACCTCGCTCAAAGGGAGCAGCTGACTTGACACTGGAAGAACACACTCCGTCAGTCGTGTTGTCCGGACAAGTCCTTTCCACATAGTAAACTGTGTTCTTGTCTGTGGCGACATCCACACCCCGAATCTCCTGACGATAACCCTCCGAAAGACTGCCATTAACTGCAAGGATATCCCTAAAGGTCAGCAGTAGTGGGTTCACGACCTCAACCCCTGCCTCTTCCCTCATCTTTCGTCGATTTGATGGCTGATATGTGCTGTGAAATGGCATACCTTGGACGGAGTCGAATGCAGCACCTTGATTCCACTCCCCAACTTGCATTACTCTTCCAGTGATAGACACGCCATGTAAAGCCATTCCAGTGTCGCTACCCCAGATCAATGAAATACACCATACCACCACAAGCTGCACACTTAGAAAAAGGAGGTGACTATTTCCCATGATTTGGGCAAGAGTGTAAGAAGGGAGGTTGATGAGAACTACAGCTCTGTTCTCCTTACAGTCTCCTTCCACTCAGTTTACCTGGATGCAATGTGCCCACTCTCGCCTGCTATATATGCTTCCTGAGAGCATTGAAAGAAATCAATAAACCATCTTTCTTGTGTGCATCTCATCTTGCCTCACCAACATCACCTGCCTGCCAAGAGTGAACACCCCAGCACCAACGAGGACAGCAGAAACCCATGTCAACCTATAAATATACACAGTCCAGCAACCCAGCACCAACGAGGACAGCAGAAATCTCTGCCACTCTATGAAGGAGCCTAGAAGAATAAACAACAACACAGGTATGCTATGACATACGTCAGGTCGTTCGTTCACTGAGATGAAAAAAAGTACTCGACAGGAATGGTCAGCACGAAGCTGCAAACACAGGTTCTTGGTGAGAATGGCACTCTGCTACTTCCCAAACCAAAGGGGTCCGCCCCTCCAGTGCCATGGTTGTGCTGAGAGAGAGGCAGAGCATCTTGAAGTCGGACGTTTTCTCTCCCTGCTGACGTCTCCTTGCTGTACGACCTAAGAGGCCGACAACCCTCCGTTCAACTCCACCATTCTACTATTATTTGACTTGAAATGCACTACGTATCTATCATGGAATCCCCCCCCCAGAATCACGAATGCGGCGATTCCAATGACGAGGTTCCCTGTTCTTCATGTCCGACATCTGACCCCTTCATGCTGCAATGGCCCCAGGAATACGATGAAGAGTACTACCGGTAGCCTCAGGTTACTTTTGCTTCAGCTTACTAAGAACGGAAGTGTGCTATTCCGTTTCGTTATGTCAACCACCGATTCAGTTCCTTGACGAACGATTGCGATGTGGTGGATTTGCCAGACCCCGGAGGACGCAGCAATGCACTTTATCCCCTTGCATTCACAGTCTACAGAGACGCCGTTGCGGGTTCATCAAACTCCTGGAGACAAAGCAGTTTCATGGTAGTGACAAAGAAGATACTCAAAAGGGTCATAAGTTCGACTCATAACGAAGATCATTACAGTGATACAGAAACAAGCAATGCCCAATGCCGTTTTAGTTTTGAGTGCCTCCTAGCTATTCATGCACGCCACTGAAATATTTCTTGCTAGGAAGAATGGCCATGATGTGGCAATTCCACCTAGGAGGTAATGAGCTACTCCTACAGCATGTCCTTGTACAATATACTTAAACCACTCGTACCTTTCCCAGCCATATTTCTCCAACCCGGCTGCATGTATGTCACAACTTTCAGGGGTCGGCGGCCAGGGCAAAAATGGCTGGCGGCACCAGCCAAAAGGAGGCCCATGCCGGTTCTTTTTTTTTTTTTCGCGTGAAGGGCGTTTTCAGCCCCGGGAAAAAGCAGGTACTGGTGGTTCAAGAACAGCAGTTTCATCAAAATGGACTTTTTTTTTTTTTTAAACGGATATTGAAACTGGCTAAATCGGCCCGATTTAGGTCAAACTGTTTAGCTCCTGAGGGTCCGACATTCTTTAAACGCCCTACCCCCTGGACTCCAGCGAAGTCCAGATACATCCAGGGTGTCTGGCATTCTTAAAACACCGGACCCCCTGGACCCCAGCTAAGTCCAGATACGTCCAGGGGGTCCGCATTATAAGGACGCTGAACCCTCAAGAGCTAAAAATTTCGACCTAAATCGGGCCAATTTAGTCGGTTTCAATTTCGTTCAAAAAATTGTCCAGTTTGATGCAACTGCTGTTCAAGGCCGTGCGCTGCAACTTTTAACTTGCTATAGGAGCCTATACAATTTTGTGAGTAGGGGCCTTGCTCCGCTACTCACCACATGCACACAAGACGGAAATATGGAGTGTTATCTTACTATCTTTTCATGTTTTAGCAGAAGATTCATTCTCATTTTGCACATTTTGTGAGTCGTGGAGCGAGGCCCTAGGTTGCTGTTACTTCTATAGCTTCCCTAGCAGCAGAATCAAAACATAGTCAATAGATTGAAGTGACTACACTAAATACAAATGGAACCGACAATAATGAACAGTAAATAAGCAAGGATCGCATCGTCATAAGCAAGGATGACAAGCAAGTTCGCAGCAGGATTTCACTTACAGCAATCCACAGCTGGCCAGCGGCAAAACAAGCAAGGATCGAAGTGCAATATAAGCGATACACATTCATAGATAGCACAAAATAGGTGTTAGAACCTGCCAAACACGGACTGAGACACACAGCTGATTTCTGAGTTTTGCCCATGGAATGTATGCCTTGCTGGGTTTCCCGCTTGTTGCTGAGTTTTCTAAGTCTTGTGTGTGTGCGTGCTTGCTGGTCTGCATGCCTGTCTGAGTGCTTGTCGGCTTGAGTGCGTGTGTGACCCGCAAGGGCACTTGTTCGTTCAGAAGGCCCCAAGGGTTGGTACATTAAGGGTTGCAGAGGGGGAAAACACTCAAGTGGCAGGGAAAGAGGCCCACGGCACTTAGAGCAGCGGAAAAGCACTCGAGTAGCACGTAGGCCGGTACCACACCAAGTAGAGGTACATCACCGTGGATGTGCCAGGTACTCGAGGCCGAGCAGAAGAAGACAAAAGTTGGCATTTTAAGAGGCCCAGTAGTTGTAGCCTAAGCCTAGGCGGGTACCAGTCCAACTAGTCTGAGTCTAGGTCCTGTACGGGCAATATCAGAGTCTGCAATGATGTTTCTGTCCGAAAGGGAGGAGGTACCGGTTGCTTGAAGGCCGCGCGGGCTAGGAAGTCACCGCCCAAGAGGCAAGCAGGCCGCTATATCTCCAGGAGGAGCAAAGTGCTCCTCCTCATTCTTTGGTGTGCAAGTTTGGCGACACACTGCTTGGAGCGCTCGCCGGAGCAACGCTTCTGGGGAGGAAAGAGCGCCCAGCTCTCCACCGCGGCTATGGTGGAGGAGCACTGGCTGGAGGAGGAGGGAGACGAGGACTAGGAAGAGGGAGTGCGCCAGAGGCACTTACCTGGCTATGGTGGACGCCATCTTCATCACCTTGGTGGACGCTGCATCTGGAAGGCCACGCTGGGTTAGAGCTGCACCAAGAATCTTTGACGCACAGTCAGGCATGGCGGCCTGAACAAGAGCAGCCATAGCTGCTTTGTGTTGTCCTTTGCACAGCAGGGCAATGCCCTGGTAGTCCGCCATAGCCTCGGCCTTGGAGGAAGGAGGAAGAAGGGTGGCCATGGCTATGGTGGACCTCATGTGATACCTGCAGTAGAAGATGGATTCAGACATTGATTCTGGTTCAGCCATTCAACATTATTATTATTATTAATTTATTATTATTTAAAGGAGAAAAGGAGGAGGAGAGTGGTTGGCGAAGAAGAAGGGAATTTTCATTGGTCTTTGCTGGTGTACATCTTCTTCTTCTTCTTCTTCTTCTTCTTCTTCTTCTTCTTCTTCTTCTTCTTCTTCTTCTTCTTCTTTCCCTCTCTATCCTCTCAAGTCATTCATTTCTTTTTTCAATTGGACGGCACTGTACTTTCTCATGAATGTGTACTTTGAAATGGGCCAGGATCATAACATAGGCGTCAAAAGGGAGTTTCCTTCACTGCCTTTTCTACAGTGACCACGTGAAACACAGGATGTAGAAATTATGCCCATTCTTGTCACATTACAGCCTTTTTTTCACAGCCTGCAATTGGAAATATGCCAAGTACTGACATTTTTTCTTGACCCCAAAGTATGGAATGGAATGACCGAATCATAAATCCTTGGAACAGATAAACAGATAATGAATAGAATCAAATTCAATCAATAGATGGTTGCATGAATGGTTCGATTGACGGGCAGATCAAGGGAAGGATGGAAAACTGAGCCAGTGAAGAATAAATGAATGGACCCTCCATGGATGGAGGGGAATAATCAATGGAGAAATGTTGCAATGAACAGGGTTATGAAAATGAATGAAAAAAATGAATAAATTCATGAATACGTGAAGTGCATTTAACTAATGACTGAAGAAATTCGATGAACAAAATGATTAAACCGAAAATCAGAAGTCCTTGCAACGAACAGAATAGATAAACTAAACTTCAGAAACTCGCATCATCATCATCATCATCATCATCATCATCATCATCATCATCATCATCATCATCGTACGAATTCATAATGAACTGGCCTCTGGAAGCTCACATCATCATCACCATTGATACCCCAGGGGTACAGTGTTCACACTGGGTCCCCAGGGTGTAAGGAAGTCAACCCAGAGGTGCAGTGTTCACACTGGGTCAGGGAGACTCGAGCGATGTTTTTTTTTTGGGGGGGGGGGATAAATGCTCCAATCTATTCGTGGGGAGCAGCACGTGCTGGGAACCGGGCCCAGTGTCCCATATGACAAGCATTGAGATACCGGGGCCATTACCCGGCTTTTGGCTAAGAAACACTATGAACCAATCTATTCTTGGGGAGCAGCACGTGCTGGGAACCGGGCCCAGTGTCCCATATGACAAGCATTGAGATACCGGGCCATTACCCAGCTTTGGCTAAGAAACACTATGAACCACTCGAGAAGATTTTAGAAAACCATGAGTAAAGTACTGACGTATTGAGACAATCTGCTATTAAAAACACCTCAGAGGGCATTACATGCTGAGCGTGCACACGGGCCCCATTTCAGGGGCCCGACGGTTGCTGAGGGGCACCCAGGCCGCGTGCCCTTTGGACGTGCGCCCTGGAGGTCCACGGAGGCCCTTAGGCCGCAGGTATCGATTTGAGACAGCATTGATTTATTTATTTATTTGCTGTCCTATTCTTGTCTGTTCAGGCGTCGTTTCTGACCTGCAGTCCCCAAGGGTGCGCCTTGGGCCAGGTTCACCAGCCGGCAGGCCCTTCTGGGCCAGGTGCAGGGTCTGGACGTCTGGTGGGGACCCAGACCCGAGAGGTCCACGTTTTTGGGCAGGACCAGAGGCACACGGAGGCAAACCGTCCGGCCCAGCGCTACATATATAGCTGGGCCACGGCCAGGGAAGACACAGTTCGAGTAGCTCACTTCTTGGGCGACACGCTGCTGGAGCAGCGCCGCGACACTCAGCGCTACGCTGAAGGTAGAGGTAGAGGCATCGGTAGGCAGAGAGGCGGAGGCCATACCTGCAGCGGCGGTACTTACCTGGCGCCATAGCCACGCTCCACGCCGGCGACCTGCACAGGGACCACAGCAGCAGTTAGTACATGACGGCAGTTACCTGCAGGTGAGATAGTGAGGAGGACGACATCTTCTTCTTCGTCGTCGTCTTGCCCTCCATATTTTCTCCCTCCCTCCTTCTTCTTCTTCTTCTTCTTCTTCTTCTTCTTCTTCTTCTTCTTCTTCTTCTTTCAGAGAGAGAGAAAGGTTACAGGCAGAGGTTACATTGGGCATGATGCCAGGATCTGATCCGACATTTTTGTGGCAGACATTGATTGAACATTCGGCAGGGAGACTATGTTTGGACTTCAGTATCACGATCTTGGTCTTCTCCCTCACCTCCATCTTCGTCTCGCCTCCCCCCCCATCGCTCATCCGTGGTATCTCCCCCATGTGTGTGTACAAAAAGGGACCTTTCTTCTGTGTATGTGGTCCCTCCTCCTTCTCTCACATGTGTGGTGTATGATGGGATGTCGCATCAGTCTCTGATAAGTCAGGTCATATCTTTCAGTCKTCYGCTGCGCTACATTGTGCTATTTTTGTATGTATCTGGATGTACATTGCTTGTTGATGCTTTGCTGACATTGCATTGTCCATTCGAGTCCTTTTCATCACTTTGCGGATCCTTGGCTCCCATACATTGCTCGACTGAGCATGTATCAGAGGGGCTACTGGGGAAAACCAGAAACCCTATATGTAACTAGATTCATAGGGGCTAATGAACACAAAACACAAATCTTGTGAGTAACCAAAAGCAAGCTGGAGCCAGCGAAACGAAAACCTAACTGTCAGATGCCACTCAGTTGCCCAGACCTCAGCCTGCGTCGC